GCTGCCTGCTCTTCGGCCTGGCCCCGGGCTGCCTGCTCTTCGGCCTGGCCCCGGGCTGCCTGCTCTTCGTGGGCCGGCCGGAGGAAGGCTGGAGCGAAGCGGTGTTCCTCTGGAGCCTCCCCTTCGCCTTGGGCTCCTCCTGTTGGGCCAGACTGCCCCCCGCCGGATCACCTGCGGTTTCGCTCAGTCTCTCTGCAGATTGCATGCGTTCGCCAAACCGAGCTTGCATCTGGGCATCGTGGGGCATAACTGGTTCCATTAGCGCTGCAGGATCCTGCCTTTTCATTGCTCTCGCTTGGAAAATTAGGAGGAGTTTGCTTTCAGCTGTGCTTGGCCGTCTCCTCTTCCTCCAACCGGTCGCTCCAAGAGAAGAGTCGCTCAGAGCTGAACTGTGGAGACCTCGGTGCCCTCTGAGCTGGGTGGCTGCTTGCAGGCATCTCGCGACCCGACTAGGGAACTCCATCAGTGCGCGGGAGGGTGGGGTTGGCTGCCTGCTGATATGCAGGGGGTTGCCCTGCCAGTGTTGGGGGCAGTTTTCTCCTTGGTGGTTCCTTGGTTGTTGTTTTCGGCCTGATGGTTTGTCTGGAGTTGGCCCTGCGTCTAAAGGTGGGCGTAAGTGCTGCCCATTAGGTCTTGGGAAGTCGCCCCCTACCCTTCCCCCTGGGATGTTTCATCATAAAGAGCAGAATTCAGCCCCTCTTTCTTTCTGCATCTGCCCCCAGAGAGGTTTCTCTGGTATTTGCATATTTTTACACAAAAATTTAAATAGACACACAATTGTAATGATAATGATAAATCTTTATGTTGAGGACCGGAATTGGTCTTTGAGTAAACAAGTGGCAGAAAAGAAAGATGGAAGAGGTAGCGCACCGGTGGCTCTGGGGCCGCCTGAAAACCCGGCGGTCGCCCAGTCCGCCTTCGAAATGCCAGCACAGGCATCTCCCGCTGAGATGAGAGAGGCTTTGACTCAGTTCACAGAGCCGAATTCTTTCGTTTTGGTCCACGGTGCGGAACACGAAATCTTGAGTGCCGGGGTGGAGGAAGTAGGACTGGTGGGCGTCCGGGGGGGAAGCAGATCTCAGCAAAATGCTGGAAACTCTCCCAGTGCACGTGGTGCAGTTGGCCCTGGGAGGCAGAGGGGTGCCTCGCGGGGTCCCAAGATGCTGCGGTGCAGGATCCTGCCGTGGGCCAGGCTAGATCGCTTTCAAGGCTCCTCCCAGCTCTGAAAAGCCTGTTGAAGGCGTGGGATCAGCTGGCTTGTCTGCATTTTTATCCAGGGAATTAGGAAGCACCCATCCCGGCGGGGAGCTCTTTTGCCCTTACGGCAATGCTCTTGTTCTTAACGTGCTGCGCTTCCCTGCGTCTGCCCGTCACAGGCCGCAACGCACCAGGACATGATGTACTGGCTGCAGGAGCTTCAGCAGAAGAGGTGGGAATATTGCAACAGCCTCGACGCTGCCCAGAGGTGCAGTCGGACGTCGCCCACCCCGGGGGGCTGCTCCAAGGGGCTGGTGGCCAAAGACAGTCCCGGTAAGTGTTGTCTCTCCCGGGGCCCTTGCAGTGGACAGCACAGGAATGCGCTTGCCGGGTTAGACCACGGCTGCGGCTTCAACTTCGTGGAGCGTTTCTTCCGCACCGGCTTCGCGTTCCACGTTTTTGGGCTGGATCAGAAGGATAAAAAGCCCTTTTCAAAGGGAAACGTGGAAGGCATCCCGCCACGCGCCACTGAAGCGGGGGCACGTTCCGCATGTTGGTCTCAGCCCAGATGCCCCTGCAAAGTCTTCCCCATCCGGCAGTCTCCAGTTGTGCTGGGACTACAGCTCCCAGGATTCCCAGCCAGGTGATTGTTCACAGGATCGTTCACAAGGCTCACGGCCGAACCAGGCTCCGTGAAAGCTGCCTCGGCACATCTTTTTTTAATTGGTCACAACAAGCTGGTTTTCTTCATTGGGTGATTTTTTTCTTTGTTCTTTTCCACAACAGGAAGTTTTTATTTAAAATAGTTACTTTAAAAATATGCATATTGGAAATTGTGGTGTGTGTGTGTGTAGCGTGTGTGTAGTGTGCATGCCCACAGCAGCTTTCTGTTTTATTTTGTTTTTTTGTGGATTTTTGTCTTCCAGAATTGTATTTCGAGGCACTTGGGGTTTTTGTTTTGTTTTTCTAATTGAATCTTTATAGGAAGCCCTGATTTTTTAAAATATATACGAGGCACGGTATGTTCATGTGCGTATATTCCGTCTGGCATCCAGTTGCAACAATCACGTCCTTCACAGTTTCCCCCTTTTTAACAGTCGTGTGTTTAAAGATGTAAAATCCGGCGGACTTGTGGGCAAAGGCCCCTCGTGTGATCAGCGTTTGCCGAGTCGCTCCGATTAGAAAACCGCTGGAGCTTTTTCTGAGGGCGGTGGGGCGGCCGCGCTTCCCCGGTCGGAAGTTAGGTAAAGCTCCCCTGACGGGCAGCTGCAGCGTCCTGTGGTTCCAGAAAGGTTGCGACAGTCGGGCAGACGGCAGTCGGGCGCGTGGGCGTGGGCGTGGGGTACGGTGCGTTCTGTCCTCAAGGAGCGAGGCGCAGATGCAGTTGGCCACTGTGGCGTGTGCGAGGCCGGCAAGAGCCGTCTCCTTCCTCCCGCGGAGCGTGCAGACCTGCTGCTGCACGCAACGCGCGAAAGACGGGCCTGCCGCTCTCAGCTGGCTGCGGTTCCCTCCGTGGAAACCTGTGCAAAGTTGCAGAGCGGCCTTGGGAGGCCCCTCGCCCGCTTCTCCCGGTGAACGGAGGAGCCCGGCCTGGGATGGTCGCGGCAGCAAAACGGGCGGGCGAGCTGGGGGAGCGTCTTCAGGGCAGGAGGCATCTCCGTTGCAGAGCTCCTGAAAAGGGGCCGGCCCCTTCCCCCCCGGGCTGCCCTCGTCTGGCCTGGCAGCTGCTTTCCACCTGCCCGAGGGCACAGTGGCGGTTCTGGGCAGAAGGCGTCGGCTTTTGGACTGGCTTGGTGGCAGTGGCAGCCGCGCGAGCCCGGCTCTGTGGAGCTGTCTCGCTGGGCTGCAGGACCGGGTTGCCCAGCCCAGAGTCCGCTGCCAGCGCTCCTCCTGCCAGAGAGCTCCGAGCAGAGAGGAAGTGTGACGGGGCAGCCGATGAGCACGCCTCCCGCGTTTCCTGAGGTGGTCCTTGAAGAGGCGAGGGTTCGGCAGCCTGGATTGTCCCCTCCCGTGGTGACATGTTGAGCCTCTTGCAACCATTTTTAAGCCCCGAGGTGGAAGTCGGTTTGCATTGCGGATAACTGGTCTGCTTGGTCCCCCCTCAGATCTGACGGCGCTGCCTCCAAACGCTTCAGCCGAGAAAGCCAGGAATGTCCTCGCCGTGGAGATCGCCCCCACGGAGCTGGTGGGGGAGCAAGCAGCCTGCCTGCCGGCCCCAGGCCACCCCAGCCCCATCAATTTCTCCTTGAAGCAGTGGGGCACGGAGATCAGGTGAGTCCAGGAGGACGTCGGCTTGGGAGCGCGACCCACAGCCGCTGGGGATTTGCAGATGGGCTTGCTCAGAACCCGGTTCAGCCTTCTTTGCCAAGGGCCTGCTTGGAATTACAGCTGTTGGAAGTTAGCAGAGAGGCATTGGAAACTAGGTTTCCAGCAGCCAAATCCCAGGGTAATCGTCATTGCCAGGGATCGTCATGCAGCGTGCTCTGAACTTGTTACCTTAGAGGAGTTCTGTGTAATGGAGGAAAGATTATGCCATGCTTTCAGATTGGACGTGTTTCACTTGACAATAACTCAACATTAACAGCACCCATAATACAGATGGGAAAGGGGTGTCCCTGTGGTCCCTGAATGAGTTCACGGCAACTCTGAAATCTGAACCAGGAACTTCGTGACTTGTGGCTCAGCTCCTGAGCTGTTTCACTGCACCCAGGCGTGCTTTCTTCCTTTCCTCTTGTTCTGTAGAAGGGACACCCCTAGCCTGGTGTAAAAGGTGGTGAGCGTGCATATCTTTGCAACGTGGGTTTAAAAGCCCTTCCTTTGAATATTCTCTTTTTAAATGGGGGAAAAGCACATTCAGCACCCAAGAAAGAGTTTTGCTGCAGCGTGTCCCTTGCCCAGCTGAAACCACTGTCTTGTCATTCACTGGCATCTGGAAGTATTCCCAGAGTGGCGAACCGCTGGTCACTTGGGTTCTTTCGCACTCCTTAATATCCACATCCACGGCCTTTTGTTCAGGCTGGAAGATGGTCCTGGGCTGTTTTCATCCATGGCTGCTTTAACACAAACGTCGGTACACCGATAGCTGTAACTCCAGGTTCTTTCCATCCTGCATTGTCTTGGCGGCCCTGGCAAACGAGACCATGTTTGCCTCACGGTTTTGGGGAGTGTGGTTGATTTGCACCCTCTCATTCTGAAGCGTCTTGAGTCACATAACAGGCTTTCAAAAGGAGAATACTAGATCTGCGGGTCAGAATTTGCCCCGAGACCTTTTCTGTGCCTGCCGGTGATCTCCCGAGGCTGTTGGGCGAACTCCCTTCTCTTGCAATGCTGCTCCTCTTATAAGAAAGAGGCCTCCTTATCTGGCAGTTTGAGCTCTGGGAATCAAATTGTGACAACTGCACAACTTTTCTGCATAGCTGTCCAGTGGCTTTCTCCAGTCTGTCCCCAAATTGTCCATTCTTGTGCGAAATGCTAGAGAGCATTAATTCTGCCCCGTTGCTGGTTCTGCTCCCCAGCACCCTCCTGGTTATGGCTGGTGGAAGGCGAGTGGCCAGCCTGCTGGAAGGTCCGTGCAGAACTTGAGAAAGGATCGGGCCCTTGTGGGTCAGGAGTGCTTGGCGCAACAATTGGCAGACGTTGGTGATGGAAGTCCACCAGGGCTTCCTGAACTTGTGAGTCAGATTGTATTTCCCGTGTGTGACTTGACCAAGTTCCTCCTTGCTTACTGCTTAATCACAACATTAGATTTTCGTCTTTAGAAACGCAGCACTTTCATCGTGAGCTGCAAAAGTTTCTGTCTGGAAAAGTAGCCAAGTTGTCTGTGTTGTAACAGCTGCTGCACGCGCCTAGTGAAGTTACCACAGATACAAAGTGAGAAGTGTTGGGCTTCTCCAAAAGCGTGGCTTTGGGTGCTTTCTCTGTTGGACATCTGACTACCAGCAGCTTCCCTGTTTTGCTGATCCCTCTCAAACCAAGCCTGCCCTGCGGTAAACCCTTCCGCGGGAGAAACAGAGGGCTGGCTTTTGCAGTCAGGCATTCCTCGCGGCTTGGGGTGCCCCGTGTTGAACCTGCTTTCTGCTTGCAGGCCCGAGTTTTCCAACTCGCACTTTGCACAAAGGGTAGAGAAGTAGGACAAATTGCCCTGATGAACTTTGCCTTGAAACGTAGAAAGGGAGCCGTTTCTGGCCAATCTGGAAATGTTGGTTTGGGTTTAAAAATGTCCGAGAAGTCTTGGGCTTAAGTTGCATTCTTGGAAAAAGGGTGCGACTTCTCAGTGTTGCAGAAATCTAACTGCAGGACCTTCATGGTTTTGAGGAAGGCAGCAAAGTGTCGTGAGTGGGTCAGAGCCAAGATTTCTCTTTTTTGCCTTTTTTTTTAAATTGGCCCCCCCTCAGATTGGCGGGAAGTGGAAATCTGACACTGCAGAAATTTGACCCAGAAGAAGAGCCGGCCGCCTTGTGGCCACAGCTTGGCCATCGGAGGTTCAGGGTTGCACCGTTTCCTGCCCTGTGGCTTGTGCTTTAGTTCAGAGGCATGAGAGTAAACTGTCCCCGGTTGTAAGTTCAGGCGTTCTGGTATTTGAAAGCCGGGAAGCGAAAGCAGCAGGACCTGTGAACCTTTGGGGTTGCAGAGGGCAAAGGGTTGTGATGGAGGGAGAAGCCTTAAAAAGCAGAGTTGTTCCGTCCTGGACAGCTTTTGAAGCCCGAGAGGGTCAGATTATGTTCTCAGGGCACACGTATTCTCGGGCCGGCGTTTCCAGCATGTTCACCTCTGTCAGTGAGATGTTTGGCTTTAAGGTACATCTGGCCCTGAAAGAAATAACTTGGTTCTTCTGTTTTGGCTTCTGCAGCTTTATTTTAAAAATATCAGCCAACTTTTCTCTGACCATACAACCATTTTGAATTTCTGCACTTCACAGGAATTCTGTGTCTTCCTTAAGAACCGGAAAAGGAAGTAGTGAAAACCGCAAGAGTGTTTTTTACACAGAAGAATGGGAAATGCTAGATCCCACCCCAAAAGATTTGCAAGAATCAGCGGCTCAGGAAGAAAAAAGAAGGTTGGCAGCAGAACCCAGCAAAGGTGCCAGCTTCTGTCCATCGCTCTGCCCCCGCCCCCGTTTCTGCTCCTGCGTTTGGAGGAGTCGTTCTGTCTTTGCAGACGGTTGGGGGCACTCGCCCCCTTTTCTGAGCTGTGCGGCCCAAGGAGGTCCCCAAGGGTGGCAGGATCCCAGGTTGGCCTCTGCACGCCATGAGCACTTTTTTCCGGCCCTGAGCTTCACCCGAGGTTGGCACAGCAGCGTCAGAAGTGCCAGATCCAGGGAGGAGGCATCTGCAGCGAGTGCCCCCCCCCCACAATTCACATCGGCTTCTCCCTTGGAGAACCAGGGAACCCTGCCTTCCACCTCCGCCCCATCTCTGCTGGGAGGTTTGGGGTCAGCAGCCTGGCTGTTAACCCAACTTCGGCGCGTGGTTTAATATCCTGGCTTTTCTCAAAGGACAATTAAGAGAAGGCTCCTCTGTCTCCCGGAGGATGGTGCTGGCCTGACAGTCCGGCACTGGGAGGAGGAGGAGAAGGAGGGCTTGCCCTAAAAGGATGGCTCGGGTCTCCCTGGACGTCACGCTCGGGCCGGGGTGCTCGGTGGCAGCCAGCGAGGCGCTGAACCAGCTGACCTTCTGCCTCCCGATGCTGCAGGTGGGTCCGGCTCAGCCTTCCCGTTTGATTTTGGCCGCCTCCCACACAAAGCCAGGCGTCCTTGGAAGGACCCGATGGCCGCCAGCAAAGGCCGGAGCAGCCCGGAGACCTCTCCTCTGGCCTGGAACGGCGGCCGGACGGCTGCAGAGATGCAGCTGAAGTTCCAGAGCCAGCAGGAGGAAGTGGAGCAACTCAGGAAGGAGCTGGCCAGCCAGAAGGTAAGCGGGGCGAGAAGGCTGTCGTTCGCCACCTGGAGTCGCCTGTGCCGAGGTGGGCAGCTATTGAATTGGCTTAGTAAACGCATAATAAATAAAGGTGGGAGAGCCGGAGGACGTGCCGGCGCTTGGGCCGAACGCCCGTCCGCCTGCCTGTTATCCGGACTCTGCTTCCCTCCAGGAAACCCCGGCGCCTCCCTCCCTCGCCCGCTTCCTTCCTCGTTCTTGTGTCGGGGCCCAAGGGCGCAGGAAAGCCCTTCCTGCGAGGCCGCCTTCCGTGCAGAGCAGCCGCCGCCGAGCTGCGGCTGGTCCTTTGTTGCGCGTGCCCCCCGGCTGCGGGCTCCGCTTGTTTCTGCACGCCCTCCCCGCTCTCGGCGCACAACGCAAGGGGGGGTTCGCAGAGCCGGACGCGGGTAGCGCTGAGAGGGAGGGGTGGGCCCAGGGGCCCCCGAGGGCTTCTGGGCCGAAGCGAGGGCCAGGATCTCGCTGGGCCTTAACCACTAGACTGCGCCGCTCTCTCTTTGAAAAGCAGCAGCAGCTGGTCTTGTCAAGTGCTTTGGAACAAATGTGCGGCAGGTGGTCCCCAGAGCTTGGGGCAGACCCCCGAGGGGCTGGCAAGCCCTGATTTTTAGTGAGAAAGTTGTTGCACGCAGGAGGACTCGTTTCTTTCCTTGTCCCTCTCCGGGAACTGAGGGGGCACTCGGGATTGGAACAGGAGGTGCTTCTCTGCCTCGGGGGGGATCGGGGTGCGGCTCCTGGGGCACCCAGAGCGCGGGGGCTTGGAGCAGCAGCAGGAGCAGGTCCAAGCGTGGGGCAGCCCCTGTGAATTGCCCCCCCCCAGTTTCAGAAACGACCTGCCGGCATCTCCCCCCCACCAGCCTTTGTTCGCCTCCTCCCAGGAACTTGTGCGGCTCTTGCAGCAGACGGTCCGGTCTTCCCAATACGACAGGTACTTAGCGGGGCCCCTCTGTGACGGCGGGGCCAAGGGCCACTTGGAGCTGCTTCACCAGAAAGACCACCAGATTTTGGGTCTCAACCACCAGCTCGAAAGGCTGAACCTAGAGAAGGAGCACTTGCAGCAGGAGGTGGCGAGCTTGAAGTCCAAGGTGGGTGAGCTGGACGAACAGCTGGAGATGTTCATGGAGACCATCCAGGCAAAGGATGAGGTGATTGTGAAGCTCTCCAGGGAGCTGAGCGAGAGCGAGGATCAATCGCCTTGGCAGACCGGATCAGGGCCTGCGGACGCCTCCCCCCCCGTCAGCAAGGAGTTGCAGGAGCTCAGCAAGCTGAAGGTAAGGACCGTGGCTGGTCTCCGGGGGCCTTGGGCGCTCGGGGTCCCCCTCGCCCACTCTTCGCTGTCCCTCCAGAGTCCGCTGACTCGCTCGGGTGGTGGCTTGAGTCTGGAGGAGCAGGAAAGTTGCTTTACGGTTGTTGACCGGTCAGAGGCGAGGAAAGCAGCAGAACCCGAAAGCAAGAGGCTGCTTTGGGCGCGGCAGCCATCACAGCGAGCGAAAGGAGTGCCTGGGGCGAGAGAAGGGAACGCGTGGGTTCTCGCGTTGTGCCGGATCGTGGTTTTATTAACCATGATTTCTTAAACAAGCCACAGCGGGCTACATTCACACGCTACGCCAGGCCGTTCACCATGTTTACTAGCCACTGTGGTTGAGCTCCTCCAGTGTGCCAAGCTGCGCATCCCGCAGACTCGATTTTGGCTTTGACCACCGGCAGCCCCGAAGCCAAGAGCAGGGGACCCAACCACCCTAAAAGCGCCACGTTTTCCCCTCCCGTGGGAGAGAGCCGGCCACACCCTTTCTTTTCTGCTTCAAAATGCCCGGCTCTGCCTCATTCCCGCCATGCTGTTTGTTGACAGGACAGTCTGCAGGGCTACAAAACCCAGAACAAATTTCTCAATAAGGAGATCCTGGAACTTTCTGCTTTGCGAAGAAATGCCGAGAACAGAGAGAAGGAGTTGATGGCCAAGGTCAGCCGGGGGAGCGCTCGTCTTGACGCCTTCGTCTGGGTCCAGGCCCTCGGGCGGATGGGAGCCGCTGGCACGGGAGTCCTTCTGGGGGGGGGCAGAGAGAAGCGTTTGAGCCCCATCCTGGGGGCTGCTTTCCAAGCTGGCCGCTTGCTCTGCCGCCTCCCCTCCCAGACAGAGGCCGACCCCGAACGCGTCGCTCGCTTGGGGGAGCTGCCGCATCGCGGTCGGCTTGGAGGGCAGGATCCTGGTTGGTGCGGAGGCTTCCCCGGGTCTTCCGCGTTCGGGCTGTTACAGGCAAGGTCCCTGCCTAACCCCCCCCCCGATGTGTCCTACGCAGTACACGAGCCTCGAGGCCAGAATGTGCCAGGTGGAAAGCAGGTACCTGATTCTGCTTCAGGAGAAGAAGGCCCCAGTGTGCTCGGAGGAGCAGAGTCCCCACAGCGACATCATCGCCCAGCTCTTGGAAGACGCCCTGAAGGTGGACAGCAGCGAACAGCCCGAACAGGCCTACTCCAGGCCCCACCTGGTCAGGTGAGCCTCAGGTCTGACGCTTCGGCCCGCCGTGTCCCAAGGTTAGCGCAGCGGGAGCGGGGAGACCTGGGCCCAGCTTCCGAGCCAGCAGCTCGTCCCCGTATCCCGGCCTTCAGCTTGGCCTAGAATGTGAGGAGGGCCAGAACGGCTGCTGAGATAGCGCTGGCAAGGTCCCGCCGTGGGGCACGGATCCTGGGCGCTTCTCAGGCTGGCAGCAGTGCCCTTTCCGGCAGCGAGCAGAGGATGAGCTGAGCCCCTGAAGCCATCCCCACAGTTCACTTGGCAGAGACCACTCAGGGTGCATTTAACACCTTTTCACAAGGAACAGCAGTGGAGGCCTTGGTGACTGCCCAGGAGAAGCTAGCAAATCCAGTTTAATCTCTATTATTATTATTATTATTATTATTATTATTATTATTTATTATTTTCCCACCTTTTTTAAATATAACTGAAGATGGTGAACGTACCTAATTCTCCTGCCAGTTTTCCCCACCACAACAACCCTGTGCTTGGACTGAGAGAGAGGGGCTGGCCAAAGTCACTCTGCTGGCTTCTGTGCCTGAGGGAGGCTTCGAACTCACTGTCGCCTGGTTTCCAGGCCAGCACCTTCACCGCCACCCAGACTGGCGCGCCCGCATGCTGGGACAGCCCCGATAGGAAGGCGCCTGTCCTCCGGCCTGTAGCCAGCGCCCCTTGGGACAGAGAGCGCTTAACTTCTAGCTTTATGCAGCCGAAGTATTGGAATTCAGCCCAATATTCACATTCGTGAACCAACCTGGGGCATTTTCTTACCCTGGACGCCAGCTGTGGCTTTTGTGAATTTCCTCAAAGGTTCTTCTGGCACGTGACCCCGCTTCTCCTTTGCTTTCCAGCGAATACGATGTGTATGGGTTTCAAACGGTCCCGGAGGACGAGGAGGAGGAGGAGAGGCTGGTTGCGAAAGTGCGGGCCTTGGACCTGAAATCCTTGTCCCTCTCGGAGCACCAGGAGATGTCCACGGGCGTGAAGTGGGAGAACTTCCTGGCTGCCACCGCGAACAGGGAGATGGTCCGGTCGGTGGAGCTGAAGAACCTCATCCGGGGCGGGATTCCCCACGACCACCGTTGCCAGGTATGGAAATGGTGCGTGGGCCTCCACGTGAAGAAGTTCAAGGACCGCAGCCCCCCGGGCTACTTCCAGAGCCTGCTTCAGAACGCCCTGAAGAAGCAGAACCCGGCCTCCAAGCAGATCGAGCTGGACCTCCTGCGGACCCTGCCCAACAACAAGCATTACTCGTCCCCCACCTCGGAGGGCATTCAGAAGCTGCGGAACGTCTTGCTGGCTTTCTCTTGGCGGAACCCCGACATCGGCTACTGCCAGGGGCTTAACAGGTATGGCCGAGAAACAGACGGCAGCGATTCCAGGAGCGCGGCTTTATTTCTGCCGGGATGTTATCTTAACAGAGCCTCGACAGCCTGTCCAAGTTTCCCTCTGTCCCCTCCTTGAGTTTGTTCCTTGCGCCTCCTTCAGTCTCGGAGCTGCGCCATCTCTTTTCTAAGCCCCCCCCTTTTTACAGAGTCTATTTCTCTCTCTCGGGGGAGGAAGACACAGACCCTCCAGGGCCAGGGGGACCTCAGTGTGGGGAGCAGGGGTGTCTCACTTGCCTGGCTTTGAACCGGAGGCGCTTTATGGTGGCACTCCACGTTTCGTAACCCTTTTGTAGGCTCCAGAAGGAAATGAAACAGGCTTGAGAGAGCTGTTGTTTCCTCCCCAAAACTGGTTTTGGCTTCTGCAGAGTGCCTGCCTTGCTACGGGGGCCTCCTGGCTTTATGGTGGTGTGGCAAAGAGCGTTTCGTTTGGGGGGAAGGGAGGGAGTGAGCAAGAGGCAGAAAGACATCTTTTCCTTCTCTCCTTTTTTAAACCCTTTTTCTGGGGCCTAAGCACGCCTTGGCGTCAGTCTTTTATTGGGGCCACCTCGAATAGCCCCGTGACACCTGGGCTGTGTTCGGGAAGCGCCACTTCCAGTGGTGGTCTTGGTTCTGTTTTCCAGGCTGGCGGCCATCGCGCTGCTCTACCTGGAGCAGGAAGATGCCTTTTGGTGCCTGGTGACCATAGTGGAGGTCTTCATGCCCCGGGACTACTACACTAAAACGCTCCTTGGCTCTCAGGTACACACAGGAAAAGCTGTCAGGGGCTGATACGTGTGAAAGCTGTTTGAGATGGGGGCAAGTTGCAGAAAAAGTGGCAGCCCCCCGAACAACCTAGGGCAGGCCTTGAAGATGAACGGGGGTCTCAGAGCGTGGGCCCAGCAGGACAAGTGGGGAGGGCCTTCAGTATCACTCTGAAAGCCTCTCCCCAAGAGGGCTGCATTCTGAGACTGAGATGCTCCTGCTCCTGCTCCTGCTCCTGCTCCTGCTCCTGCTCCTGCTCCTGCTCCTGCTCCT